GTACCGGGCACAGAGAACCGATCGCGATCGAATCGGGTGCACGATCTACAAGGAATCTACATAAGATCCTCCACTCGCGGCTACAACTCAATCCCCTCTTTATATTCCGCGCTCGGGGAGCCTTAACCGGGAGGGCCCCGTGGGGCCCGCACGCCAGACACCACGGATGCACCGCACATAATCCTCGCCGTTGGTCCCGCCATGGCTCCTACGCTCCCCCTTATCTCGCCGAGGATCGAAGATAGTAGCCACGCTGCCGCGCTCGCTGGCTCCTCGCAGGCCCAGGATCTCGGCGGGCTCATATTGTCCTTCGTGCGGCATGTAACTTACCGGCGACAACGAGAGAGAGAGACGGCCGCCTCTCTTTCTCGAAACTCTCCTTGGCTGCGAGATGCGTGCGCGCCTGCTCGCCTCACGCGTAACGAGTAAATATTTGAACGATAAATGAGAATATCGCGCATCCTTGGTCACAAAAAAAAAAGAAGGGAATCGTTAAAATTGTTTTCCGGACGGGACCTCCCGTCGTCCGCGGCTATCCTTTCTATTTGAAGGGAAAACAGCGCGCTAAGCCACGCGAGGAAACGCTTCCTAGCTCACGTCTATTGACAGACTGGATTACAGCCGTGATAAAAATTTCTAAAATACACTTGAAAACATCGCGAGGAAGAATATTAAATATCGATAGTCTATAAAATATCTCTTAATCGACCGTGATGTTTTACTCGTTAAGGGAAAACGTGATTTTATAAGACTGACATATACATATATGATTTGCATTCGGACCATCTAGATTCGAAAATTTTGAATAGTTCACATTCGAATCTCACCCGATTCGATTCGATTCATATTCAAGTAGTTCGCACATCTCTAATTCTACCATATCGGTCATGGACCGTCTACATTGGAAGTAAGCGGTAAGAAGTAAGAAAACCGTAACCTTTACCTATCAGTGTTAAGCGTCGTCTACAATAACCGGCGTAAGCGTGGAGTAAAAAGTAAGAGTAGGAGTAACGTTTTTGGCGTAAGCTGTTTACGCCGACTCAATCTACAATACGGTGAAGTAGGTGTTGTAAAGGCTGGTCTACAATACATGGAGTAAGCTGGAGTAAGGAGTAGGAGTAAGAAATAAAATGGATTTATTTCCTTACTCCTACTCCTTACTCCAGCTTACTCCAGCTTACTCCATGTATTGTAGACCAGCCTTAAGCATGCGTGAAAAGGCGTAAGAGTAAGAGTAGGCGTAAGAAATAAAAATAATTCAATTCGCTCACGCCCTTACTCCAGCTCTATTAAACCGGAAGTAGCTCTCTTACGCCTACTCTTACTTCTTACTCCACGCTTACGCCGGTTATTGTAGACGACGCTTAAAAGCTAAAGTACAGGTAAAATTTTTTTAAAAATATTCACAGCACTGGTCGAACTGCGCTCTAATTCGCCGAGATTAAGCGTCGGAGCTGAATTAGGAGCAAGAAATGGAAATGATTCACTTCTTCACTCCCACTCTTACTTCTTACGCCGGGCATACTTCGTCTACTGTGGACGATCCTTTAAATACTGTCCACCGTATAACAAGCTCGAGTCAAACATCCCTTTAATAATAAATCGCAGATCCTCGGGAGGATTTGCGCTCGCGCTTGCCGCTAAAATCGTACCGTCGTAAAACTCTGCGTTCACGTCTAACGATGTATTAGTGCGCCTACGAGACCCGAGCCGCGACGCAAGAGAGGATAAATAAAGAGACAAAGCTTCCAGATCTCCGACGGGCCTGCGAGAGAACATCAGCGGCTCTCGCTCTTTTTAGGACTGCAACGACGACGAGCCTCTGTCCCCCCCCCCCCCCCTCCACGGTACGAGCGGGCCGGTCGCGTGAGAGGCCCACCTGACAAAGACGAATAATATCGATAATATTCCACATCGAAGGCATCCCGTCCGGATTGGCTTAAAACCGAACGGGCCGAGCGCGTGTGTAGCCGCGTGCGTGTGCGCGACGCACGTACGAGAAGGCGCTCGGATCTCGTGCCGACGGAGATACGGATGCACCCATGGGCTGAAGGTTCGTAACACGATAGTGGCCGTATGTAAAACCATCTGGTGTAAAACGAGCTGCTGGCTCGTTCGAGTATTAAATCGGGCCTCTCTTACTCCCTTTCCGACTACTTCCCTCACGGCCCTGCCACCCCCGTTCACATCGTCGTCGACGACGATCGGTTCTTTTTTTCTCCTTTTCTTTTCCTACACCGCAGCTCTGTACCGCGCCCTTTATCCTCCACCACCACCACCTCCTCCTCGTCCGCTCCGTTTCCCGACCTGTCGATCGACTCGCGCTGCACGGAGATCTTCGCGTCGAACGCGCGCGCAGAATCTGTTAAGCCGACCAGCAATAACCGCCGCGCCGCGCATTCCGAGCTTAACGTCGCAACACGCGCCAAATGAACTCGTTAGCGTTCACGTGTTCGGTGCCCGCGAGTCGGCTCCTCGGCCGCTCGACCGAACGTGTCTCTACCTATTAGAATCCACGCGTTTACTGGGCTGACCGGCGAGCTGCGGAATGGAAAAGAGACCGACCTCTCGATATCTCGCGATACCGATCGCTCGTTGCATGATGAATGAATCATGGACTACCGATATGAAGGCAAAGGCGTAAAAACAAATTGAGAAACCTTTGTCAAGTCGGCATTGACGAGTCTTTCGTGCCCTGGTAATTTTAATTGCTAAGGATTTTTCGAAAACCTGCACAATTTTGTAGGCGGCTTCTCACAAAAAAAAAGTAGTAGCGTAGGGATACTTGAAGGCCAGAAGCTTGTTGACATCGCTCAGTTTTTGTTTATATGCAGAGCGATTTAAATCGATGGCGGGGACCCGAAAGACCGACAAGTCCGGTTTTCGTTGAGCGAAAAACGATCAAGAAAACTAGAAAACATAAAAAAGAAACGTAAAATTTCGGCACAGCCATTGTTGGTAAAATATTTCTAAGCTCAGAAAGTGTAACATTTTTATCTCGTATACATATACGTTTTTATTTAATGAAATAATACTATGAACACAAAGTAAATATGCAAATTATTTTTTCCTAGTTTTCATGTCGCTATCTCCCCTAAAATATATCTTGTTTTTGTGTGTACACTCTAATAATTATCTTTTTTTTTAGCGACAATAACTCCATATTTTTTTCATCAACTATGTACTTTGTACTTTGCACAGTGTTGTTTCACAAGCTAAATTTCAAAAACTATAATTTTTTTTAATACGCCACGTTAATATACAACTGTTCCTAAAAAAAAAACAATAAAATATACAAACTAACTTTTCGCCAATTTCGTTATTTGGACATTTAACTGACGCTTCAATGAACCCGCGTGAACCTTTTCAAAATGTTTGGTACACATTGACTAATATTATTCATTCAACAAGACGCTGGTACGAGAGACCCATGCGTCCGGTTTGCATTGGCGGAAAGCAACAATTCATCCTGAGAATTAAAAAACTAAAAAAAAAATATATATATATATATATACCACGTTCTTTCGCTCGTTAGTGCGGCTTGTTCCGGCGTTGCGTCGCTCTCGCGTTTAACGGAAACCCACGTCGGCGATATCGTTAGCTGTGGTCGAGAGCGCCGAAAGGAAAGCACGAATTATGCAAGTGGATCGTGCTCGTGCACTTGGTAGCGAGGAAGGCACGGTCGTCGAGAACTGTTCGTTAAGTCGCCGTGTCGCGAGGGTGGCGGCGAACGGCGAGGAGGAGCGGGGGGGGGGGGGGCATCGGCCATGGGAGCGTCGTCGATTTCTTTTTATCCGATCTCCCCGCTTCGAGAATCTAACCATCTCCTGCGAGTCGGCGGGCACATGCGACCGCGGGAAGCTGTGCTTAAGCACCGCCGCCGCCGCCGCCGCCGCGGCCGAGGCTGCGACGCCCGGCATTCCTGGCGTTAGGGCCGGCAAAACGCATTAGTTAACGGCCCTGAAAATGACACTTTGTATCGGCTAATGGGTAATTAAAGTCCCGGGGTTACGTTTCGCTCGGAATTTATTAAACGCGCCGCTGGGACGCGCGACTCCTCGGCCCCGGTACTCGACGCGGTTGGATATCGGATCGGCGCGTTTATGGGGATCCGCCACTTAAAACCTGCGAAAACGCAGATAAGGGACGCTCGTACGTCGAGGGGCCCGCGCCGGTCCCGCGGAGGATTGCGATACGTCCTCGTCGGTCAGTCTCTCATCGAGATCCGAGACTGCATTCGGCGCTAAATGGGGCAGTTTCGTCTCGTACCTGGCGCGAAGCGGCGCTTAATGACACTACGGTTTTAGAAGAAACTATACCTGAGGCGAGAACAAGGTTGGGAGGTGACTCGTTACTTGTAACGACGTTGCAGTTACAGTTACTTCTTTTTTTGCTCTAACTTAACTTCGTCACTTTCTCTCCGTCTGTAACTGTAACTTAACTCAGTTACACATTAATAGTTACTTTATATATTTTTTAAACCTCCACGGATCGCATTAGGCCTTGCATAAGCGCGTAAACGCCTTCATCGACACTTAACAATTCAGATGCAGATTCGACACTTTTATTTTCATTGCGAGAAAGTAACTGCAAAGTAACGATACGTTACTTTTTGAGTAACTGTAACTAGATACTTTTATAAAGTAACCTTCCCAACCCTGGGTGAGTGTACGATCTCTTGCAATAAGACTACTGTACGACGTCTGCGTCCTGGACTCCAAGCTGACGGGCGAATCGACGTCGCAAGTACGGGGGACTTTGATAATAATCGCTGGTGGCATGTTGTTAAAACGGAAGCGGATGTAGCCGATCGATGACAGTTCGCGAGCGAAATTGGGCGATCGCTCCGAGAATTGGACTTTGCGTGAGATCATCGGCTCAGGGTGTTTGCTTTTGTTTCCTCCGTTCACGTCTTTCACGTGATTCACCAATATTACGCCGAAGAACTGCGATCGCTCGGCTGAAATCAATCTTGACGCGGCGTGTCGTTTTACGTAGCGCTTTTTATTCGTACATTCCTTTCTCCACAATTTCACCTACGAGACATTCGTGAAATCCCTTTACAGTTACAGTTCGCACTTAACACTATGTACCTTCGGCAATAAAACTATCACATACTAGCAGTAACAACTAACGACTACAATGGCAACTCATTTACTTACGTAACGATAGCATATTAATATAGAAATACATGCGTACATATATTGCGCCACTTACGCGTTATCGTCGTCATCCGTAACGCGATTCACCGCCAATCGTCGTCGCGATCGGCGTCGCGACGACTCGATCGACATCGAGTAAACGGCCTGGCGGGATTTACATCGAGATGTCTGTTATGTCGTTAAGTTCGCTTCAGTCCCGAGGCAACTTCGACACCGTGAGAAACAATTCCGTGCGCCGACCTCTTCCTCTCTTCCCTTTCCCCCCCCCTTCCCGTCCGACGTTCCGGGACCTCGCGACGAACATATTTAATAATAACGCCGGCCGATTTATCACGCGCGTTAATGAGAAAGAAGTCGTATGCTGCACGTCATCTCGCGCCGCGCCGACTCGTTTCTTAATGGGTCTCGCCTACATTCATCGTAACCAATCTACGGTACAAACTCTATCTACGGCTACGGCGACACTTAAATTTAATCCCAACGCGCGCCGAAAACGACGTTTTTGCGAGCGACGGTCTCACCCGGGATCCACGCTGCTCGTTGCGCAAGATATTCACGCGGTTCACTCGTGCGACGCCGCTCGAAGGATCCGCTCGACGTGTCGAAATTTTGGGCAAATTTCGACTAATAATAATACGTTATAAATATCCTACGTTATGCGCGCGGACGCGAAACACCTTGCGCGAAAGGGAAGCGCCAATAAATAACGTCGAGGTGTGTACGTTAAAATTAACATTGAGATAAGAAGCAGGATGTATATTATTTGCGTACGCGTCACACCGCGCCTTTACACTACAGGTCCTTACTTTCGGATGTCCAGCTCTCCCCGACTATTATCATTCTCATTTCACGTATCCATGGTCTTAACGCGGTACAAGCGAGTCAAGCGCAAAGATTGAAGCGTGTGAGAGGGAGGCGACGCGGTAGATGAGGCTGGATAAAGAGGGGGGGGGGAGAGGGGCACGCGGGGAGGAGTAGCGGGTCTCGTCGACGGGACAGGGACTAATGCCTCTTAATGTGGTTCTGGGAGAGCTGGAAGATAATGAAATTGTGGAGAGCGCCCTCAAGTGTCTTAAGAAAGCCCTGCCACTGACCTTTCTCGTAGTTGATTTGCCTCTCCTGCTGCCTCGCGTTGTCGGCCGCGACCTTGAGCAAGCCCTGGATATTCCTCAGCAGGGTCTCCGTACTCGAGACCGAGGGGTCCTGGGCGCTCTGAGATACGGCGACCGCCGCCGAGGCTATCTGCGAGTAGTTCAGGGCCTGGGGAGGACTTTCCGAGCCCGGGGCTGGCAACGGCAGATTCTCCGGTACGTCCGACAAATCTGAAAGCAAAATTTTCCTTCACCCTTCCACCCGAGAAATCCTCCGGGACGACGGGCCGGACGGGGGTAGAGACACTCGGCGGCGATAAATAAACGCCGTCTATTCTATAACGCGCGGAGCTCATTTCGCGTGGAGATTCCTTTTCGAGCGGAACGTCGTTGTCGGGAGCGAAACGTCAATGATAAATTCACCGTAACGAACGTCGAACAACGTCCGAAGTACGTGGGGCAGGTCCCGAGACTCATACGGCGTGCGTGTCTCGAAGTCGTAATCTCGCGACGACTACTTGTTACCCTTCGCCACATTTTGATTTAACGTCAACGCGGGCGAATTAAATTCACGGATTGAACACTACACGGCGTTCCTCGGGCGATTAGTCGCGTCTCGGCCGACTGGCTGTTCATCATCTCGCTGTGAAATACCGGGGAGAAACCAAGTTTCGTTATCGATGGCCCAGCAATATAATTTGCGGCACTTATATGATTATTCGCGTGTGAAAGAAATTGATATATTCCTAATTAAAGTTAAAAGTGGCGTTAATAGTTAAAATAGTAAAAGATTAGTAGGGGCAATGTGAGCAATGTCACCTGAACGAAGCTGATAAATTATATATCGGTAACGTAGAGAATTATTTAACGCCAGTACATGATTAACCAATGTAGAAAATTGCTGGACGACGCTTGGCTGGCAAATTTCAATTAAAGAAATTTATTGCGAAAAATATTACCTCTGCCAGGGTCTGAATCTGGACCTCCCACACTCTAGGCGGGCGTCTCACCAATTCGACCACTGAGGCACCCTGGCTGAGGTGATATTTTGCGCAATGAATTTCTTCAATTAGAATTTGCCAGCCAAGCGTCGTCTAGCGATCTATCAGTATGTTCTAGCGTAAAATATATTATAAGCTTGGTAACAATATGACACAGATTGAACGTTTCGGTCAACTATATTGTTTTATTGGAGCCTTGTTCATATCTACTGGCTCTCAATTAATATTATAGATTTAAAAGAAACCCCCTGCTAAAGCTTTTCGACGTTCGAAATCAGCTTCGAAGTCGAGACGCTGCATTGAGTGGTCAACAATGTATTATCCGCCTCTTTAATAATCAAGAAGGTGAATCAAACTGGACCACCCCGGACTTCTTGGAAACGCGTCCTATTCGAAACGTATTGACACACATGTGGTATTTTGTCGCGTTACAGAGGGATCCGCGCGCGCGCGCGCGCGTTCTCCAAGATCAGCGAAAAGGATCCAGCGGGATCGCCGGAATAAAGGATGCCTTATGGTTATTGCCGTAGGGTCCCGGAGAGTGGCGGTGAGACAAGATGTCTGCGTGGGTTCCAGGCCTAAGTGATCGCTCGTGGTACCGGCCCACACCGTGGGCTTTAGCAGCCCGGCTGCTTTACGGCCAACGATATGTGGTTTATTGTATCGTCTTTTAATTATCTGCGCGCACCTACAACGCCACTCGGCAATCGGTTACTTATTGCCATTGGCCGATTTAATGCTCAGCGCACCTCCGGTGCCGGCACCTTTTGATAGGGAAACGCATCTCCTTCTATCCTTTCGATTCTCCGCTCCCCTAAAATCGCGATTCCTTTCTCCTTTTTTTTCCTTCCCGAGCCATTACAATTATCAGGACGAAAGTCACCGTCCTCTCGGAATCCCTTCGCCGCGAGGACGCGCGTGAATTCGCCCTTCGCCCCGCGAGTCCACCGATGCGAGCGCGAGAGGAATGTCCGTGTTCGGAAAGGCGGTGAGAAAATCATCTATATACGTGCGCTCGGCGGAGTCTGCCCGGGATTTGAAAAAGAAATCGCCCGGTGAAGCGAGTGAACACGATAATCGGAAATGGACGACGGGGATTCCGCGACGACCGTCAGATGCGAGATCGACGGCGAATCGACGGTGAATCCGATTCCGAGAACGAGAACGAGAGATAGTGGCGCGTCTCATTAAATCAGAACTGCATTCCACGAGCTTGTACACTCCCACGGGCGTTCGACGTGGTTCTACTTCGATCACCCGCGAGCATCGTGGGGCAAGGTGTACCCCGTGTATCGCGTACGACACGCTGCGAGACACGGATTTGATCCTTCCCCCTCTTCTCGCCGTACACGACCGGCACCCGGAATTTATACGTCTAACTCGCGTATTTCGTGGAATTTACGGGCCCACTAATTCGGGAGTACACGATCCCCTAATTTTGCGGGGCGCGCGGCGGTCCCCGACATTTTCCAGCCAGCCTCTAGTGGAGCGAGGGCCGAGTTGGTGGACAAATCCTGTGATTTCCATGAATCCTCACGGTCCGGCGTCGTCGCCCCCGTCGAGATTGCCATGTCTCGATTCGTCCGTAAATCATTCGTGGCCGCGCAAGGCGCGCTTTCTCCTAACGACTCGGCCCCGGTGCATTAAATCGCAGCGCGGCCGAAAGAAACGAAATTAATTAAGACAACGCGAGATGATCATCTTCCTCCCTTTTTTTTTCTACTCGTAGGAAACGCATTCGTAACGCAAAATCGATCCCACGTGGTGGACGCGACTTTACGAACGGCCCTCGGGCCCCATTAATTGGACCGGCCAATTAACATGCCGACGCGACAATGGTCGAGTAGATTAGAAATCAAAACGATTATGACGCTTCGGTGAGTCCGGAGCGCCAGAACAAGGCAGGGAAGGATAGCGGTACGAGGATCAGACGGAGATTCGATCTCTCGATCCATCTTTCATTAGAAAATGAAACTAAATATCGAAGATACGAGTCTAATGATTGCTTTGTCCCGGCAGTGACGCTTCTTACGCGGATACCGCGCGTTTTGGAAACACTCGCCGATAAAGGAACAAGCCCGGTCGATGTCGCGAGGCGCGCGACGTGCTCGTCTAATCAGTTGGAAAGCAATAATTACATTTGACATTTCCAAAAAATATTATTCCTTTTTGCAAACCCGAGGCAATTAAAAACGTCTACGCTGCGACTTGGCAACCGCTGCGGTGCGTTTCTCAGAGCGCGATGGAAGACGAATCCCGAAGCGCCCCTCGCGCTCTCTCGGTAGAGATGATGGATGAGAGGCCCTGACCCGCCAGTCGTCTAGAAGAACTCGTCTTTAAACGCGGCGTGTCCAGCAAAATCGATATAATTATTTCACGAACACGAATCCTTTCTCTCTCTTTCTCGCTTCCTCGAATCAAAATCGTCCCTTCGACACTCGTCGAACGTTAAAGGCGAATCGACGCGGTTTATCGCTTTAATTGATTGCCAGGCCACGAGCGATCTCTTTCGAGCCGATCGCTTTATCAGAGATATAAATGGCCGACGACTCGCAGGTCCCGACGTTTGCTACGCTACGTACCTTCGTCCTTTTCATTGTCGTCCTCGAGGTCCTCCGACAAATTATCATCCTCCTCCTCGTCGTCCTGAGAACGGTGCGACGCGCCCGCCTCGCTTCCGGACTGCTCGCCCACGCTTCCGCTTCCTGCCGTTTTCGACAGATTTAGAACCGGGCTGTGGCCGTTGGAGGAGCCTGAAAACGCACGAACGGCAAAGTCAATTAGAGATCCCACACATATTCGCATGTCTATCCCCGAGTCGAAATTTTCGTATACTATTTTGACACTTTTAAGGATAATTTACACCTACTTAGCCGATCTATACACCTACATAGACCAGCAATAGCCTACTTTGATGACATTATATTTTTTTACTCCTCCCTTGAATCTTTAATTCTAAAAATGTACTTTAGCTCCTACTTAAAAGGACCTACTTTAATGCTAAATTGGCAAAAGTAGAAATTTCCGACACTATCAGTTTGAAAGTAGGAGTAACTTTTGTACTTGCAGTCGACCTCTTTTACTGTCCTAGGTCCTACTGTATAATAGAAATTAAAGGTTCGACGCAGGGCCAAAATTTCGACTCGGGTCGAATACGCAAAATTACGTCTGTCCTGTACGCGATGTATATCAAACTCGGATTGACATCGCAACCGTGTATCCACTTGGCACGATAACCCTGGAAAGCGGCGTCAATCTTTCCCGGGGAACGCTCGGTTACGAGAAGAACGAGAAGCGCGTCCATTGACCGGACTGACAAGTTGATGGATTTTATTTACCGCCGCGCATCCCCCGTTTAGACGAGAACAAGCGGACCATCCACTCTCCGAATCCCTCCCCGCCCGTCCTGCCCGACGTGACCACCTCTTTCTCTTTCCGCATCCCTTTTTCCTCGCCCCGGCCGTCTAAGCGCGCCCGCGCGCGCGTATTTGATATCCCAGTATTTTAATCCTGACATAGATAGATACTGTTTGGGCAACGGTCGTCGGCGCTGACGCATTGCTCCGGGCCACTCGTGATCTCACGAGTACTCGGAACGGATACTCGTACGTATAGCGTGATGGCAGGGAGCAGCGCGTCTCGGCCGTTCACACACGTACGCGCCCGGAGCGCTATGTATCTCGTTGGCCGTTGAAAGAGAAGGGTCGCGGTTTTCTCGGCTCTTCCCCGGCGCGATCTAATGAATCGTACATCTTTTACGTTAAATTGACTTCTACACGCCGGCCGCCGGTTGAAGGCCGTGAGTCCCGATCGAAAGCCGCACGGCGGTGGCCAAGGGGGTAGCCGCTAGCTAAAATGTTGTCCCGCCGATTACACGATTTCATTAGATTCCATACGATTTCGTCTAATTGCAAATAATCTTCTTATATGCACGTTTAAAACTAGGCGACGTTGTTAAGAGCTGTTAGATTTCCTCAAGACATTATATCTTTTTGATTTTACGAATAAGCATTTGCTTGTAGAGGTAATTTCAATTAAGATTGTAGCATTCGGTCAGGTAGAAAACGTGTTTCCTCGCTTCCCACTTTTCCCACCAGTCTGACCGTGGTCTTGACGAGAAGTAATTTTGTATTTGTATCTACTGTTTATTGTTCTAAATTTGCGCGCAAAGGTGTTCATTGTCTAACAAGTGAGGAAACTTGAAAATGAAGGCAAACCGATTACATGGAGATTTCGTAAGGATTTCATAAAGATTTCGGAGACGCTGTCCCATGATTACATTAAGTGGCTACCCCGTTGGCGGAGGCAATCGTGCGCCTCTCTCGCGTGAAACGTGACGTTCGGTCTCGCAGGTCGAATCGCGTGGGCATCGAAATACGAACGATCGTCGCACGCGTGTGACGCGCGGACGTTAAGATTTGATTATTTGACAGGTCGAAAAGTGCGAAACGTAGGTAGAAGTCGAAGCGTGTCCCCCAGGCGGAGGTGGGCCCGTCGCGGAAGATAAAGAGTTCCATCAGACGGATTATAATATTATGGGGAATCAGAAGGAGATGCAGGGCCAGGACGTAACCCGATATTGGGCTTAATCTCCGGGATCCTAAACGTCCGGGACGCTCGTCGTTCGACCGCTCCGCGGACACACACTCGCGCGGCCCAGGCGAGAAGAGCGAAAAGGTAGAAATACAGAAAAGAACGAATACGCTCGGATTCTCGGATCGCCGCGCCGTGTCGCGGTCAAAAATCTTTCTGCGCCGCTTGACTTCGAGTCCGCGTCGATCGACCGTATTCCCCGGGGAGGAACTCTGACGATTAAGGATCTCGCGTTACATACTTAATCCATGTGACAGGCAGGTAGGAATACGAGAAATGGCGTCAGATGCTATAATGCCGACGACACGGCACAACTCACGGCATTCCTTCGGAGTAAATATTTCTTTTACGCCTCTTTTACGAATAAAAATATTTTACGTCGACACGGCTCGTTGGATTTATTGTAAATCGATGTTTGTATACAGGGTGTTACGTAATACCCGCCTCACTGCTCTG